TGAGGAACTCTTGTAAGGAAATGACACTGGTGGATTTTCCAATTGGCAAATGGGCAAAAGGCATGAACAGGCAATTCACTGAAGAAATACAAAGAAAGAGAAGGAGAAAAAGAGGAGAAAGGGGAGAAGGGGAAGGAAGAGGAAAAGGGGAGGGGAGGAAAAAGGAGAGGAAAGCAGCCCTTCTCACTGGAAATGGCAAAAATGCACAAGGAGACGTTGCTCTTCTGTCTGATGGTGAGGTCCTAGTTTTTTTTTTTTTTAATTTTATTGTGTTTTAGGTGAAAGTTTAAGCACAAATTAGTTTCTCACTCAAAGATTTGTACATGAATTGTTTTGTGACATTGGTTGCAATCCCCACAACGTGTCAGCACTCTCCCCCTTTCCCACGCCATCCTGGGTTCCCCGTGTCCCTTCATCCAGGTTTCCTGTCCCTGCCTTCTTTGCTTTTGGGCAGGTGTTGCCCATTTGGTCTCGTATACTTGACTGACCTAAGAAGCACGTTCCTCCCATGTGTTATTGTTTGTTTCAAAGGCCTGTCTTTGTCTGAAAGGTGGACTTGGGGAGTGGCTTCAGTTCTGAGTTAGCAGGGCGTCCGGGGGCGAGGTCCAGGTTTCGATGCAGGAGGGGAAGAAGACCAATGGTCCTGGGGAGGCATGGCAACATGCATCTAAAACTAAAATGCTGTGGGCTGTTGGACTTGGAAACTCCACTGGGAATTTTATTTTAAGGCCCAAGCAGAGGTGTGGTGAGCTATTTGAGAGTTACGACCTGGATCCAACCTAAACGTGAGAGGGCGGCAACTGTGCAGTCTGCATGGAGTCTGGGACAGTGAGAGGAGATAAGATGCAGCTGGAATTCAGTAGGACACACTCCCAGTAGACATGCTCCCTCTTGACAGCATGAGGGCACAGGAGGGCTGGCAGCTCCCCAAGAGCATCTCAGACTGTGGTCACATAAGAAGCTGGGGGAACAGGAGACTTAGAATGAGCAGTGGGGACAACAGCTGTCCTCTAGAGCTCTGGCTGTGGAGGAGAAAGGGCAGGGTGACATAGTCTTGGTGTGGCCAATCCAAATAGGACCGGGTTTGGGAAGCCCCAGGGCAGGGGTCCCGGAGACCACTGAGCACAGCAGGGGAATCTTTCCAGCTGTGCTTGGAGCAAGGAGGGGACCAAGGAGGAAGCCAGCTTCTGCTCAGGCCCGGGGATGTCAGTGGGTTAAACTCATCCTGCCCTGCCTCTCTCTTCCCAGAAGGACTCAAACTATAAAGGGAGGAAGAAAATCAGTCTCCATGAGGACACTGAGATGGGAATGGAAATGGTGTTGGGGCCAGGGCACTGTGTCAGGCTGACCCCAGGGCTCCTGCTCAGGGAGTTTGCAGAGTGGCTGTGCTGTGCTGAGGCAGCAGGTGGTCACAGCGCCCTGAGAGAGGAAAGGGAAGAACTGCAGAAGGAGGTCGGCCCTCTGTGAAAATCTGAGGGGCACAGGTTGCCTCCACTACTCATAGGAGAGGATGTGTGTGCACACCTGGGCTAAAAGTTGCCCTGTTCCAGGAGGAAGAGGCAAGAAGACAGAGGAAAAAGCCATTAAAAATATGATAAGGTTTTACATTTTTCTTTACAGCTGAGTGGTATTCCATTGTGTGCGTGTACCACGTTTTATTTATCCATTCATCCTTTGATGGACATTTAGGTTGTTTCCACCTTTCCACTATTGTGGGTAGTGCTGCAATAAACACTGGTGTACATGTTTGCGTTGCTGCTTTTAAGTCTCTTGGGTATATACCTAGGAGTGGAATTGCTGGGTCATATGATAGTTTTATTTTTAGTTTTTTGAGGAACCGCCACACTGTTTTCCATAAGGGCTATACCATTTTACATTTCCACCAGCAACGGATAAGTGTTCCAATTTCCCCACATCGTCGCCAACACTGGTTATTTTCTGTTTTTTTTTTTTTTAAATCTTAGCCATCCTGTCGGCAGTGAAGTGGTATCTCATTGTGGTTTTGATTTGCATCTGCCTGATGGCTAAAGATGTTGAACATGTTTTCATGTGTTTGTTGGCCATTTGAATATCGTCTTTGGTGAAACGATGGTCCCCATTTTCTTGCTGATTAGCAGGGATCACTCGCAGCTCCTAGAGGCCATGGGCCTCCCTCCATAGGCAGTTCACAGCACAGTTGTTTGCTTCTTCAAGGTCAGTAGCATAAATGTCTTTTGGCTTCAAATCTCTCCGACATCTTTTAAGGGATAACCTGATCAGATCAGACTGACCCAGGGTAAACTTCCATTTGGTTGACTCAAAGTCAGTTAATTAGAGATCTTAATTACATCTGCAAAATCCCATGTGACATATAAGGTAGCATAATCACAGAAGTGATATCCCATCATATTCACACTCAAAGGGAGTGGATGACATAGGGCGTGTGCATGAGGGTGGGAATCATGGGGGTCATGCCAACATGAATAAATAGAATGTTCCACCTAGGAAAGGAGTGAATGTGGCTGCATTAATAAACACAGTAATGGAAATGTAAAGGGAGGCTTGTTCATAGTGGATTTCCCACCTTGGGAAGTTGGATCAAGTGCTGGGATGAAGCCCACGACCACAGGGAGCCCCAGCCCAGAAGGAAGGGAATCAGGTGTGGGACAGTGAGTCTCTAAGGCTTGGAGAGCAGTAAAAAAGGGAAAACTCAAGAGCTTGTGGAAGCTGGTGGTCAGACAGGTAAGTTGATGGATTATGGGTAGCTATTCTGGTTTTGTTGTTCTTTTTTAGGTAAAGGTACTTACAAGGAATGCACAGCTTTTTACCTGTACAAGTCCAAGAATTTTAACATATGTGTATCCATGTAACCCACACCCCCTCAAGCCAGACAACACTTCCATTACTCCGTAAATTTCTCTGGGGCCCTTCCAGCCAATCCTCACCTTCAGAAATGATCCCTGCTCTGATTTTTACCACCATTCATTAGTTTTGCCTATTCTTGACTTTCCTGTAAATAGAATCACACATTATGTACTCCTTTGTGTCTGAGTTCTTTCACTCTGCGATTGATCCATGCTGTGTGTGTATTAGTTGTTCATTCCTTTTTATTGCCCAGTAGTCTGGGAGACAAGAAGCCCTGGTGGCGCAGGGTTTAAGTGCTAGGCTGCTAACTGAAAGATCGGTGGTTCTAACCCACCAGCTTCTCTGTGAGAGAAAGATGTGGTAGTCTGCTTCCGTAAAGATTTATAGCCTTGGAAACCCTATGGGGCAGTTCTACTCTGTCCTATAGAGTGGCTATGAGTCAGAATCAGCTTGACGGCAGTGGGTTACAGCCACCCACTTGTGGTATTTCTGTAACAGCAGCACGAAGAAACTAAGACACTTGGTATTTCTTCCTTTTGAAATTCAGTCAAAATCTGCTTCTCCACAAACCTTCACCCTCCCACAAAACCTTTCCTTGGCTAGGGGCCACACTGGTAATGCAACCTAAGCTTGATCATTAGGAGCTGCCACATTCACTGTCGAATCCCCCCAGGACTTCTTCTTCTGGAACCCTGTTGGATCCTGATTCCCCTTCTGGAACTCCTGAAGGTAATTTTGGTACCAGAATGCAGGGCTTGACACTAGTTCTTTGGGGTTTAATCTTGTTGTATCTGGCCAGTTGTCCCAACCCATCAAGACCTAATTAGCTTCTGATTCTGCAACTTGGGGTGTTGGGGGCCTCCCTTCCAGCTCCTTCCCTCTATAGACGTGGTCTTCATGTCATCAGTGCCATCCTCCAAAACACAGATAAAGAATGTGAATGGACAGTCGTATGGACAGCACCCAGCCCAAGGCGTGACCTTCTGGTCTTGGAGAGAAGTGGGAGGTGAGCATTCTCCTGGCCACCACAAATCACCTTCAGATTGAGTTAGTGTGTTTGAACCCACCCAGAGGCTGGGCGGGAGAAAGGCTTAGTGATCTACTTCCATAAAGATTACAACAGGGACTCTTCTACTCTGTCACATGGAGTCACTATGAGTTGCAAATGATTCGAAGGCACCTAACAACAGCAGTGTGTGAACTACAAACACAGGTGGGATTTTAACTCATTGGAAAGATAACCATGGACAGGAGACAGAAAAATTTTATTTGGAAGAACTGTTGACATGGACATGGTTGAGAAAAAACACTGGAAGGAGTAAAAATAAAACTCACATATAAAGAGGATCTTCACTAAAATATAGAACAGATCACTATTTTGAGGAAAAAAGAGCTTTGGATTGTTTTTAATAAAACACATTGCTCATGCCTCTGTGGAAATGACTCGGTGTGCCCAGTCAAGACCCAGTGAACGTGTGACGTGAGGGAGGAAGACCCCTCGGCAGGGGTAGCACCTTTATTCTCAGAATCTGAAAGGATATGAGGTGGATGAGTTGCTCTTCTCTGATCTCGCCTTGAGCCATGGAGCTCCCCAGGGGCCGAGGACACCAAGGTCCAGAGTCGGTTAGGGCCAAGAACCTTATGAAGGCATTGACTCATCAAGATTTATGTTTAAAAAAAAAAATCCTCTCAATCTTGGTTTCTCAAAAATGAAACACAGCCCAACAGCTCACGTGTGAATTAGGTAGTAAAATTTGCTTGAAGTGTAAATGAAATGTTAAACGAAGACTTGGGTAGGGTCAGGGAAAAAAATTAAGCTACGTGGAAGGTGGGGTAGAGAAGGCCGTGTGCAACTAACAGAAATTAAAAAAAAAAAACAGGCTTCGGGGCATCAGACTCCGGCTGGTCAGCGGAGTAGAAAGGAGATGCAGTGGTCGCTAAGCTGTAGAGAGAGCAGTTTGGGTTTGCAGGGGAGGGAGGCTGGGGCAGATGGCAGCCGAGAGGGTAGATGTCAACACAGCAGGAAGGAGCAGGAGAAGGAGGCACAGTTTACAGAACGCATCTCTCATAGTGTGGCTGTTCAAGCTCTTCCTTTAAAAAAAAATCTGGCTAATCAGGTTGATGAGGAAAATTCACATCACGTTTTTACTTCGACTGTGGTGAGGGGTGGGGAGGATCTGGGAAGGGAGCCGACGGCGGTGCCCAAAGGTGGGTGCTAGCCCAGCGCCACCTTCCTGGAGACAGTCTGGTAGAAGACTCCCCGAAGCAGGGCCTCGTAGCTGGGCACACGGAACAGGTGCCTCTCACCAAAGGCCGCATCGTATTCGGCCGTCTTGCCGGTGACCAGCACGCGAATGTTGGGCTCGTTCACCTGGCGGCCCACCACCACCACGAAGATCTCGATGCCCACCTGCTGGGCCTCCTGCACAGCCTTCTCGATGGTGGCTGCTGTGACACCCTGCGAGTTGCCGTCGGAGAAGAGCAGCAGCTGCTTCTTGGTGGCACCCAAGGAGGCCTCTCGGTAGAATTGGGTGATGTAGCGCAGGGCGTCGGTGACGTCGGTGGCATCATTGAGGAAGCTCATGCTGTCCACGGTGCTGGCCACTACCGTGTAATTCTGGAGGAACTGCAGCGCTGCCCGGTCCGGCCTCTGCTGGCCCGTGCCGCTGTACTGCACCACCGCCACGCGCACATCCTGGGAGGGGTCCTCGCGCCTCGCTGTGAGGAAGCGCTCTGCCAGGCGCTTGGCGAAACGCTTGGTGGTCTCAAAGTTGTGGCTGCCCACGCTGGCCGAGCCGTCCAACAGGATGGTGATGTCGACCGGGGAGGAGAAGGTGACTGTGGGGGGCAGGCAGCCATTAGCGTGGCCACAAGGCTGGGCCACGGCCATGGGGTTTCCGAGCTGCCGTGGACATGCCAGAGGCCGCTGGGGCCTCAGAGATCCCAGCCAGCCTCACAGGGGGGGATGTGGGCCAGGGGTGACCCTGCCACATCTGACCAGGGCCCAGCCTCACCCGTGTTTTTCTTTGTCCCTCAGACCCTCCTCCCTCAGCAGGTGTCCCCGCCATCACGCCCCTCTCCACACACTCCAGCCGCCCCGGACATGTGGTACTCACTTGGACAGGTGTAATCTGGACACTTCTTATCTGTGGAAGAAAAACACCCCATGATGTGAGCCTGTGATCGTACAGGGCTCTCTGCCTGTCACCTCCACCATGCCACAATGCTAAGATGTCCCCAGGTGAAGCACAGGTGTGGTACATGTATAGGTGACTCTCTTGCTCAGGCCAACCTGCCTCTCGCCAAATAGCACGTCTTGGGCTTGGGGTGGTGAGCCATCACCTGGTCAGAACCCCCTTACCAAGAGGACCTCTGGAGGTAACAGAAGGTGCCCCAGGCTCTACTTCATGGCTCTCGTACCGTCCAGCGAGGGGGGCGGGGCAGAGCCTGGCCCTCTCCATGAACGGAGAGACCAAGTCTCGGGAGGGCACCAATGCGTGGCCCACTCAGGTCTCAGGACAGCAGTCCAGGGCCACAGCCAATGCCGTGCTGTCCCCAGCAACACTGATCCCCTGCCTGTTGGTCGGGTGGCCCAAGTGAGACCCCAGCAGCTCCCTTTGGCTGCCGTCTGGCTGCTTGTGCTGGAGTCGGGTCTGCTGCTGCGCTGGCCCTACATGGCCACAGTGAGTGTACGAACATGCACGTCTGAGCAAGCCCAGGCTCTGGCTGACCATGACACACGTGTGTGAGTGTGCCTGCCCTTGCTGTGCCCAGGCATGCATGTGTGGTCATAGGTACCAGGACGGAGGGAGGGGACGCAGAGCAAACCCACAGTTCTGGGAGCATCTGAGTGCTCAACCTAACCCCACAGAAGCTTCCAGACACCTCATCTCTCACGGTAAGAGTCCGAGGTAGCTCAAGGCGGGGAGGCCATTCCTTGGGCCAGGTGTCTGACTCCCGTGGCCGTGGGTGGGTTACAGTGCTAGTTGAGAGCGAATGGATTCAGGCTTGCTGCCATGCGGGGGCTCCTGACCCGACCCTGGCCGCCCCCCCCGGTGCCCACCTATGCAGATCTCGGCGGTCACGTTCTTCAGGAAGCTGTCTTCCAGCAGCTCCGCATAGTTATTCTTGACCAGAGAGATGCTTGGCCGGGGTTGGGATGACAGGCCTTGGCAGGAGATGACGTTCAACTGGTCAGAGCTTGGGGAGGAGCCGAACAGGTCCATGATGCCCACAGAGACCACCTATGGGGGCAGGGATGCTCACACCAGGGCCTGGCCACGCTCACACCAGGGCCTGGCCACGCTCACACCAGGGGAGGGCCACGCTCACACCAGGGCCTGGCCACGCTCACACCAGGGGAGGGCCGCTCACACCAGGGCCTGGCCACGCTCACACCAGGGCCTGGCCACACTCACACCAGGGGAGGGCCGCTCACACCAGGGCCTGGATGCCATCACTCCAGGGGAAGGCTGCTCACAGCGGGGCCTGGATGCACTCACACCAGGTTCCACACACCCCCTCCTCCTGGGCAGGCGCAGGGCCCCCTCCCACAGGCAGGCCCCCACCTGGATGCCAGGGCTGCAGAGCACATTGAGGGGCGTTGTGTCCCTCTGGGTGTCTGAGCGTCCGTCCGTGATGACCAGGGCAATGCGGTTGTTGGAGGAGGGTGGCAGCAGCCGGTCCCGGGTGTACTGGAGGGCCTCACCTGTGAATGTGCCCCCCGCCATCCACTGCAGCTTCTTGATGGCTCTGTGTGGGTGGGGGTCAGGGGTCAGAGCCGGCCCGTGGGGCGGGGTGGCTAGGACAGCGGGGCAGCAATGCCACAGGGACTTACTCCTTCAGCTCCTGCGTGTTCCTGATGTTGGGGCTGCTCAGGTCCACGTGCTCCTGCATCTGGTTGTGGCTGTACTGCACCACGCCCGCGTGTGATTGTCCTGGCTCAAACTGCGCGGGCACGGGCAGGGGGCGCCGAGGTCAGGGCGCACCCCTTCCTGTGGGTACGCCCCTGCCCAGCCCCTGTCCCGGGTGCCTGCGCATCCCCAATGACTCTCACGCTCGTGGGTCTGGGGTCAGGGTTTTGAGACACCCTGCCATGCGTCTCCAGGGGCCATGGGTGACATGGGTGACAGCTGAGGGAATGACCAGGCTGATGTCCACATGCCCCAGCTCCCTATTCTAGCATCACGCCTCGGGTCCCGCCCTGGCCCAGCCTGAAGCGGGGGCTGGCAGCAGCCGGGCCAAGAGGCAGTTAGTCGGGGAAGCACGGCCCTCGCTGATTGGCTGGCAGGGCAGGTCATGGCCCCTAACATGCGTGTCTCCCTCTAATGACGGAGGCGCCTGAGCCAGGTGTCTGCAGAGACCTCCGTTTTCTAGGCTTCCTTAAATGTGTCTGTCCCCACAATCTCCTGTCCTCTCCCTGGGCTGTGAAGGGCAGTGCCAGGTGCTGGGGAGGGTGGCCTGTCCTCACTCCGTGCAGCCCGGGGGCCACACCTCCCCGAGCTCCCCTCAGCTGCTCTAACACCGCTTGGCTGTGGCTCTGATGTGCACTCCTCCAGAGGGCACCAGTGTGTCCCCACCCACTCTTGTGGGTGTCCTGGCCCATGCATAGGGCGCCCAGCACAGGCTGCCTCACCTTGACCAGCTCGTCCCGGCTCAGACGGTCGATCACCTTGATGATGAAGTCCTTGGCAATCTCAAAGTTCTGCAGGCCGATGCTCTCGGAGCTGTCCAGCACGAAGAGGATGTCGATGGGGCCACACTTGCACTCTGCGGGGCAGGGTGGGCAGCACTCAGCCCTCGGCCTCTCCCGCACCCAGAGCAGGCGCAGCCTCGCCCCTCCTCTGACAGTGTGGCCCGGTCCCCAGCCCCACCCGCACGCCCCCTGATCCAGGAGAGGCGGGACCACCTCTCCGCTTGGATCAGGCCTCACCACTGCCTGCCCCTCTACTGACCTAGCCGGGAGCCCTGTGGGAGAAGGGTCAGGCACAGGTCGTGGGGCTGGTGTCTGGCCCTGGCCTGTCATTGGGTGTTAGAGTTCCCGGGAAAGAGGATGTGGGGACAGCCCTGCACCCCAGCTATGCATGAGCATGGGGGGACATTCACTCGTGGAAGTGAGGGAGGGAGGGAGTGGGTAGGTGGGTACGCAGGCAGATGGGTGAGTGACGGAGCAAGTGGGTAGGTGGGGGAGTGCGTGGGTGGGGAAGTGGGTGCGTGGGTGGGGAAGTGGGTGAGTGGGTGGGGAAGTGGGTGAGTGGGTGGGGAAGTGGGTGAGTGGGTGGGGAAGTGGGTGCGTGGGTGGGGAAG